TGATTTACCTCATGGTGTTCCTGCACTGCTGATTCACCTGGTAGGATCCCGTTTCCTTCTCTTGTCTACTGTAAATGTATTTACTTATTTTAAAAAACTAGTTTGTCAGTGTCTCTGATTCCATTTGGTCACCAGGTGTGCAATTCCCTGAAACAAAGTGCTTTTTTTCAAAGAGACAACTGGACTTTGTGGTTTTGCTTTGAAGATGTTTGTTTCTTGGATGATAACCAAAACATCTTCAAAAAAATGCCACAAAGTCCAGGTGCCCCTTGAAAAAGTACCTTTGGGATAACCATGACATGGATGACTAAGAATAGTCAGGCAGCAACTTTAAACTATTATCATCTTTTAGCCAAGAAAGCAAGCCAGGCCTTCATTTAGCTTTTTTAACCACTGGGGTAAACAATGTAAGAAATGTGCACTCTGGAGAAATTAAAATGTGGTAGGATAGTGTAATTTCTTTTATTAAGGCTGGACAATAGGCTAAAAACACTTTTAAAAAAAAAAAATCCCAGGCCAGAAGATTATGGACTTTCATACAGTTCACATGGAAACAAAACTTCACTGAAACCTTAAAAGTTTTACTTGACAACCCTAAAGGATTTCCTATCCCACTTCAGAACTGGTAACCCAGGTCCCTTCTGTCACAATGTGAAGTACCTGGCAAGGTGACCTCTAAACAAAAGAAAGTATGGCCCTGCATTGTTCACAGCTGAAGAGATTTATCTCTGCTATGGACTTTCTGATGCATTTTAGTTGTGATTTGCAACAAACAGTTGTGAGACTACTCTCCAGTGTGATATCGATTGTGCATGCGAAGGGATGAAGGTTGGGCAAAACATTTCCCACAATCTGATCATTTATATGTTTTTTTCTGCAGTGTGCATTCGCTGATGCTTTGAAAGAATGGATTTGGCTGTGACTTGTAAGGTAAGATGGTCGCGCAAATGCTTTCCTACACTCTAAACATTTATAACTTTTTTCCCCGGTGTGAATTTTTATATGATTTCTAAGGCTTGATGTGGTACAAAAAAATTGTCCACGCTCAATGCATTGATATGGCTTTTCCCGGGAGTGAATTTGCTGATGTTTCCTTATAAGCAAAAGATTTCCCACGTTCTATGCAATTGTATGGTTTCATGCCTGAATGGACCCTCTCATGCATTCCAAGGGTGTGTTTTTCAGAAAAAGCATTTCCCACACTCCAAACAGTTGTGTGGACACAACCCTGTGTGGATTCTCTCATGATTCCGCATGTCTTTTCGTGTAAGAAAACCTTTCCCACACTCCCTTCCCACACTTCTAGGGTTCCTCCCCTTTGTGACCATTCTGATGTCTCCAAAGTTCAAAATAATACATAAATCTTCTCCCACATTCTGGGCATTCAAAGGGTCTGTCTCCAGTGTGAATTTTTTGATGTCGCACCAGGGTTGATTTACTGGAAAAGTATCTCCCACATTTGAGGCACTTTACATTTTTCTCCCCTCTGTGTGTTTTCCAATGACTTCGAAGAGCTGAACTCCGGGCGAAACATTTTCCACACACAAAGCATTTGTAAGGTTTTATTCCTGCATGAATATTCTCATGGCGCCAAAGATTTGAGTTCTGAGAAAAGCTCTTTCCACATTCCCAACACTTGTAAGGTTCCTCCCCTGTGTGAATCGTCTGGTGGTTTTTGAGATTGGCTTTTAGGCAGAAACATTTCCCACATTCCAGACATTGATAAGGTTTCTCTCCAGTGTGGATTTTCTGATGTCTCAGAAGTTCTAACTTTCTTTCAAAACGTAAGTCACATTCCTCACATTTATAAGGTTTTAGGATGCCCTCCAAACATTGACTGGATCCGCTTTGAAAATGGATCTTCCTGTGGGTCAAAAGGAGGGACCAACAAGCAATGGTTTTCCCACATTCTGAGCATATATGCATTGTTTGGTGGTTTTCTGGAGCGTTGCTTGTATCTGATGGGAGAGCCAAGGGTTTCTCATGCTCCATACTTGTTGGCGGCGGCTGCCTTGCGCTGCTTTTCTACTGTTTGTCGTAGTCGACTTGCAGGTAAAGGTTGGATCACAATATTTTATTTCTGTTAGGAAAAAAAAAAGAAATGGAGAATATTATTTCCTTTTGAGAAGGGAATAACAAAATCTGAGACTTGGAAGGGACCATGAAGGTCTTCCAGTCTACCTCTCTGCCCAGGGTCTGCAATAGCTAGACAAAATCTCCATTGATGGAGCTCCCACATATCTTGGATGCAAAATCTTCTGTTGTTGTAGTTGTTAATTGTTTTGGGGTGTTGTTAAAAGAAGGAAGACCCAGGGAAGAACTCACAGGTACCTGAAGGGGATAAGGGAGACCCTGGAGATACAGCACAAGCCACACATGAATTAAGAGAGCTGCAGTCGCTCAATGAGGCAGAAATGCCAGGATGGCCCCTTAAGTGGAGGCCTGGGTCCTTCATCCATCTGCCACTGACCCCAGGACTGGACTTCAGCCCACTGTTACTGGTGCCACCCCAAAATGTGGCCTTAATCCCCAGACAGGAGGTCTTTGCAGCCTTGCACCATTCTCCAAGCCCCATGTTCCTTACTGTTTCTAAGCAATGTGCTCCAAAACTGCTCTAAGCTTCTCTAGGACCCCTCAAGTCAAACTTGAATTGTGCTGGGACGGAGGTTCTGGCACCATCAGAAGCGAGGACTGTGAGCTTCACAGTCCCGATCCGAGCTCGCCCTTTTAAGAGGGCTCCAATTGGAGCCATAGACACCCTGGAGGGGTGGTGAAATAAAGGGTGACCGCCTGGCAGGTCGAGGAGAGCTTCATCTCTCCAATCTGACATGGAAAACCCCCTTATCTGAAGATGGAGTGCAGTGGCAACCAAAATGGTTGCCATGAAGCTGGAGGCTGTTTGAATACCCAAGATCATACAGGAGCGAAGAGACGGTGAATGTGTGCAAACTGGGTGAGAGAATACTTTTGAACTTTTAAGTGCAACCCTGGTAAGAATACTCAGAAAAGAGGAGTCATAATGATTTTAAAATTGGTAGTGAACTAACACTGGAGTAGAATTCTTAATATTAAAAACAGATGAAAGAAGCAAAGTAAAATAAAAGAAGAAAATAGTAAATTTGTTAAAAATACAGAAAACTGGAATTTTTGATTGGACAGACATTGGTTTTGAATAGGCATTTTTAAAATGCTAATATATATATCATTATAATATATATATATATATATCAGTAAATATAAATATCAGTAAAGTTTGATGAGAAAGGGGAAAAAAAAGAGAAAAGTGAAAACTGATTCAAGAATGTCACTTACTATTAAAAGAAGATACTACGGATTCCCAAAGTTTTGATAAGACCTGATTTAAGGAAAATCAAAGCAAGAAATAAGAGACTTTTATTATAAGAGCCCGGAAAGCTACAAGATTTAACTGGTGGAGGATTCACCCTCGAACTATTTAAAAGAATAGACCGATTAATTTTGGGTTATAAAGATTCCTGGACATTGGATTTTTAATCTGAAAAGTGACTTTGGTATGAATAAAGGACTGTTGGACAATTGGACAGAAGTAAATAAAAATAAGGGTGGAATTTGTAAGGAATTTGCATTGGAATTTCAGGACATTAAAGACACCATGACAAAGAGATTTGAGGACATTTTGAATAAAATACAGAGCACGGAACTAGGCCTGGAAATGGAGACGCAAATGACAGAAAGAAAACAGGAGATCCAGGAAAGGGAGGAGCCAATTGGAAGAGTAACAGAAAAATAGAACAGATGGAACAACAAATAAAAAGAAATGACAAAAAGGAAATAAAAATAAAAACGATTGAAGTACTAAACCAAGGGGAGAGTGCTTTAAGGGAAGCCAAAGAGGAATTGGAATTTCAGGGTGATTTTTTTGGGAGAAGGAAAGGGATAAGAGTAGATAACTTGAAAATGAAACAATTGAACTTAGTAGAGAAGGGAGGAATGATTAAGAGGAATTGTCAAAAAATGATAGAGACGAAAATTTAAGAGAGGAATATGGGAGACAAGCTAAGAAACGATTGATCAAAGCTCTAATGCGAGTAAGAGATGATGGCTAAAGGGAAGAAAAAGATTAGGATTCCACATAAATGTGTGTATAATATTAGTAAAGATATACAATCATTAAATGTAATAAACATGAATATTACCATTCCATGGTAGAAAAAGAAATATGTGGAATCTGATTGACATAAAAATAGTGAAATCTTATTTTATAAGATAGAAGTAATTATACTATTAGAATTGTACAATTTGTTAAATGTAAACTGAATATTATTTCATTCAAAATGAGACTAGAAGGGGACTTTTCCTTAAATATGTGGCAAATTAAAAACTAAAGGGGAATAAATAATGGGAACATATAATTCAATATGAATTTATGAATGGTTATTAGAATTATATAACTTGTTAAACACTGCAAATATGACTATTAATATAGTATCAATAGTAAAAGGAATGATGTTAAGAATATAGAGATTTACACAAAAATAACATATGGTAATATTGAATAATTAAGATTGATAATTTTAGAGAAAGGGAGATTAATGGAATAGATACTTTTACATTATAACGGGAATTAACAAGGGACTATAGAATTTCAATGAGAAAAGGAATGATAGGTAGAATTTGATTGATATAAAAATAACATTAAAACACTGAAGAAGGGAATAATGAAAGACTATAACTTGACAAGGCAACTGTATTATTAGAATTATATAATTTCTCAAATGTAAATATAATTATTTTTTGTCATTAAGTTGTAAAATGTGATTTGAAAGGAGATATTTTTAAAATAGTGGTATAATAGTGCCAAAATTAAAAATTAGAAAGGGGATAAATACAGAAAGATTATAATTCAATATAAATTGGTGAATTATTGGAATCACATCAATCCGTTAAACACTACAAATATGATTAATATTCTACCTGTAGAAAGAGAAATATCTGGAATATGGAGATTGACATAAAAATAGAATACTGAAATGGTGCATAATCAAAGAATCTATGTGTATTAATATGAAACTGTATAAGATTATCAACTGTATATGAACAATATTGTCATATTTGTTTAAAAATGTAAGACACCCTGGTACTACACTGTCCACACAATGTGTTTGTAAATAAGAAAAAAAATTATACGAAAAGAAAAAAGAATTGTGCTGGAACTCCGATGGTCTCCCCTACCCCCACCCGCCAGACAAAGCAGTGCTTCTTATCTGGGACTTCATCCACTTAAAGACCAGTGAAATCCTTTAACCACAGCAGTAAGTGCAGAATTACCCTAACGGCCAAAGCCATCATGTGAGATCTTACACAACGACCACTGTGCTAAACAAGCAAGATTCCAATCCCAATTGTAGTCGTAAGTCAAGGTCTACCTACAGGCAACACAAAAGACAAAGGCATTGCAGAAGCAAAAGAGGTGGAAAGAGAGTTGAGGTTAGCGTAAGCAACCCCATTTCTTTTCCCCTTTTGCTTTTTTCTGATTTTTCCACTTATTCCAGTTCCATCCCATTATAACCAATTGATCCTGGCTTCCTCATGACACACTGGCTCTCCCTGCATGGATCCGTTTCACAAATCAGTTTCTTCCTGTAGAGAAGACCCCTCCTTCGTGCTGTTTATTTGTTTAAATTTGTTTGCCGGCGGATTCCCTGGGACCCCCAAGGCTGCTTCTCTGATGCCCTGCGCACAGCCAGGCCTAACCAAAAAGCTGTGCGTGTGTTTGTGTATTAGGAGGAGGAGTTCAATCACTTCTTCCAAAAAGAGATTCAACCCTAGAAGATCAGACAGGAAAGGAGGATGGGAAAGTGGCTCTGGTTTAGCATTTCATCCTTCTCCAGGTGCAACAGCCAAGTTACTCATAAAAGGACCATGGCTGATCAAGGCAAATAAAGCTAGAGAGAGCTTCCTCAAAGTGAAATGAAAGACCCTATTTGTCATCCTAAGCAGCCCTGAAATAATTTTTAAAAAGCTGACCCGTGACATGGTTTAATGCTGGGCTAAATTCACCCCAAATCCCCAATAAAGGATCCAGAGAATTTCAATTAAGGTTTAAGCTTTAGGTAGAAG